AACGTGAAGAATCATATTTATTAATTTACATTTTTATGCACCAATATGATAAACAGTGATATTTACCTACATTATTTTTTACCAGAACATTTTGATGTGAGAAATACGACACTCTTAAGAATTGTTTATATATGAACAGGTTTTAATTACAGTGATGTTCTATAAATGTGATTTACCTTTTGTTATTATACAGGTGAAACTCGAAAAATTAGAATATGGTGCAAAAGTTCATTTATTTCAGTAATTCAACTTAAAAGGTGAAACTAATATATTATATAGACTCATTACATGCAAAGTGAGATATTTCAAGCCTTTATTTGTTATAATTGAAATGATTATGGCAGCTTATGAAAACCCCAAATTCAAAATTAGAATATTGTGAATGTGAAAAGTTTTCATATCTGTAAGCCATAATCAAAATTATAAGAAATAAAGGCTTGAAATATCTCACTTTGCATGTAATGAGTCTATATAATATATTAGTTTCACCTTTTAAGTTGAATTACTGAAATAAATGAACTTTTGCACCATATTCTAATTTCTCGAGTTTCACCTGTATTTGTATTAATTATACATATTAGAACTTGTATTCATTATATCATCGAATCAAGAGTTTTGACTCAATTCATTGAAATCGAACTGATTTGTGAAAATTAATAAATGGAAACTCTAACACTGTTATTGAATCTCTCTCATAAAACAAATGATCATGAAACTAGTTTAATCACATGATCTTTAGGAAACCAACTTTTGCTTGGTATTATGTGACCAGCAAAACAATTACAAATATACTGTGAATATTCAATACATCACACAGCCCTAGGTCTGACTTGCTTTGCATCTTTATCTCCGCCCAGGCATGATGCAGTGTGTGATTTGTGTCGGTGATAAAGTCTTCGATGTTTTCCTGCAGATGATGGCTGAGAAAGTGAGTCGAGTATTTGACGGATCTCTGAATGCAGTATTGATCGCTCATTATTGATAGTGTCTTTGCGTTGTGTTTCAGCCCAAGACTAAAGAGCACGAGGAGGAGCTTGAGCGTCATGCTCAGTTCCTATTGGTCAACTTTAACCACACCCACAAGAGGATCCGCAGAGTTGCAGATAAATACCTCTCAGGACTCGCCGAAACGTAAAATTACTTTCCCTACCTAGACGGCATATTAAAGCATCACTTATGATGTAAACTCTACTATTTCACCCAATATTTGAGTATTCCTTGTAGTTTTTGTGTTTTTTGTAATGCTTATTATTACTATTAGAGTATAGAGTTCCACACAGATCTGCCAGCACTGTGAGGTTAGGTTGGTTTTAACTTGCTTTTGAAAAGACAAAATGCGGCAAATGTCTTCCCAAACTTGTAATGAGAATCATTTATAAATCTGTTGTCAACAAACGAGTTCTTGGGTCTTCCTGCAGTTTTACTCCGAAATAAAAGCTTTATAGTGTCACGTTTCAAAGTAAAGAAATGACATAAAGACTGACATAAATATAAATATTGTAATTTTAGTGTTCTGTAAAAAAAAAAGATTATTTTCATTATTATTATTATTATTATTATTATTATTAAATGTATAATTTTTGTTTAGTATTTTAATTACATTAGTATCATTGCTATAGTAAAATATATATTTTTTCATTTATTATGATTATTATCATTTATATAATTTAATATTAATAATAATAATGTATTATTAATAATAATTGAAATTACGCTGATGATTAATAATAAATGTAATAGTAATATTCCTATTTGTTTCTCTCACACAAAAACAAACTAAAAGCTCAAATCTATCAAATCACTGTTTGTCCTCTATATTGATGTAATAATGATAATTATATAAAAAATGATGGTGATTTATCATTATTATTAACTATTTTAGTGCAGTAGTATTACTGCAATAATAAAATATTTATTTATTTAATTGTATTCATTTAATAATAATAATAATAATAATAATAAAAATATTGTTTTTGTATTTTATTACATTAGTATTATTGCTATAGTAAAATATTTATGAATTTAATTATATTAATTTAATCATAATATAAATTATAAATTATTTTTAGTAGAATTTCTGCTATAGTAAAATATTAATTTATTTAATTGTATTAATTTAATAATTTATTTTAATTGTAGTAATAATAATAATTTTTTTTTATTTTTTTATTACAGTAGTATTACTGCTATTGTAAAATATTTATTGAACACAATCTGTGAAATCTCTGTTTGCTGTCTAGGTTTCCGCACTTGTTGTGGAGTGGGAGAGTTTTGAAGACGATGTTGGACATCCTGCAGACTCTCTCTCTGTCTCTGAGCGCCGTCAGTACACACACACACACACACACACACACACACACACACACACACACACACGTGACCCATATAGCTCTCGCATGTCATGTCATTCACTTACCCTGACCTCATGTTAAACAGGACATCCACAAAGATCAGCCGTACTACGACATTCCCGACACCCCGTACAGGATAACGGTCCCAGACACGCACGAGGCGCGAGAGGTGAGACGGAGCGTCCGAGACCTGAACGTACTCGCGATCGAGTCCAATGTTTTGAGATGTTGTTTGTTGTCCAGGGCATCGTGAAGGACTTTGCCGCTCGCTGTGGAGAGATCTTGAAGGAGGCCATGAAGTGGGCCGCCTCCGTCACCAAGTCTCATCTCCAGGTGAGCTCAACTCACACACACTATACAGTATACACTAGGGTGTGATTTCGATTTCGATTCTGCTTATCGATTCCTAATTTCGATTCCAATAAGGTAAAAAAATAAATAAAATAAACTTGTTCACATTTAGTCTTATTGCAAAACATTTGATTGTAGCTGAATATAATGAACAAAAATCAACAGGCTAAAGAACGTTTGTGCTTTAAAAATATCATTAAAAAACATCTAGCCTAACTAATATAAATTTCAAGCATTAAAGACAAGTAAACACTCAAAAAAATTAAACTAAATAAAGAGACGATATAAATTAGTGTTTTAAGATTTTCAGGTTTTCGGGTACAGAAACTGTAATCAAATGTAAAATAACACTGCACTTTATAAATAAAATCTACATTACAAATATAGTTACGCTAGGCTGGATGGCTTTGCTAAGAGCAAGGAATTTGATTTCCATACACTGAGCAGTGGTTACGGGTAATTTATGTTTATGCACAACTTTTGTTTCATTCATGATGAATTCAGTAGAGCAATCTGATTACGCTAAACAAGTGATCGGGTGTATGTGCGCGTTTATTTCACAAGCTTCAAATCAGAATTAATTTTTGGTCATGCGCACCCTGCTTAGATATAGCGAGTTTCCTGATGTTTGCGCATAAATACTAATCTCCTACATTTATTTATTTATTTATTTATTTTTAACAGCAGATTTAATATGTGTCAATTTCTGGTCATAATTTGGAGACAGTGAGCATATGAACCGTTGTGCCGCGGACAGAGTACACCGCTTCATTACTTGAGTAAAATTTAGCAAGGGCTATCTGTACTTTTACTCAAGTACAAGTAAAAGTACTACAGTCAGATTTCTACTTAAAGGTGCTATATGAAACTTTTCTTCTAAAATGAATCCTTTTTTTATTGCCTGTGTGTGAAGGGGTTGTAATCACACATTACAATGATCCACTTGTCGGGTTTTGCTATTACCTCTGAAGGCCAGTATTCCTATTTCTATGTGAAGTCTCCGGGTCGGATTTACCGCGAAATCCAACGGATGTGACGTGCATGTGCGCTCCCGAGCCTCTCTCCTTATATACAGTCTATGCGATCGACGACACTGCAGCTGACGACATGAGTCTAATAACACCAAACACGACCTGCCTCCAGCACAACACACACTCCAACACAACACACACTCCAGCACAACACACACTCCAACACAACACACACTCCAGCACAACACACACTCCAACACAACACACACTCCAGCACAACACACACTCCAACACAACACACACTCCAGCACAACACACACTCCAGCACAACACACACTCCAGCACAACACAGAGTCCAACACAACACAAACTCCAGCACAACACACACTCCAGCACAACACACACTCCAACACAACACACACTCCAACACAACACACACTCCAGCACAACACACACTCCAGCACAACACACACTCCAACACAACACACACTCCAACACAACACACACTCCAGCACAACACACACTCCAGCACAACACACACTCCAACACAACACACACTCCAGCACAACACACACTCCAACACAACACAAACTCCAGCACAACACACACTCCAGCACAACACACACTCCAACACAACACACACTCCAACACAACACACACTCACACTCCAACACAACACACACTCCAGCACAACACACACTCCAGCACAACACACACTCCAGCACAACACACACTCCAGCACAACACACACTCCAGCACAACACACACTCCAGCACAACACACACTCCAGCACAACACACACTCCAGCACAACACACACTCCAGCACAACACACACTCCAGCACAACACACAGTCCAACACAACACACACTCCAGCACAACACACACTCCAGCACAACACACACTCCAGCACAACACACACTCCAACACAACACACACTCCAACACAACACACACTCCAGCACAACACACACTCCAGCACAACACACACTCCAGCACAACACACACTCCAACACAACACACACTCCAACACAAACTCCACACAAATATACAAAACAAAACAAAACAGAAATGTATCTGCTGAAGCTCGTCAGGCCAAACGTGAATCGGATCGACTCAGGACGAAAATACGGATCAACATCGGCAGAGCGTTTGAATTATGGAGAGACCTCCGCTATTTTTATTGTGATAAATTACAAGTTTTCAGATATGCTGAAATAAATAATGTTAAACTGTAATGAAATAGCAAGGTAAACTACAACGTATATGAGACATGAAATGAATACAAAAGACTGTTCCAGGATAACAAAAAGTATGTGCTTTAGGATGTAACTTTTATTTTATGTACTAGATCTACTGTCTAACGTCACTCGTCCCACTACTATCATATTGTTTATAATACACATTTCCGACACGTTCAGTACAGTAATGTTACTTCCTACGATCTGAAATTGTTCAGTCTAGTTCACTAGCCGTTTTCGTTTTATCATATTATACATTCACCTGTGTTGACATTGCTGATTGTGAAAGATACACGAATAGTTAGTGAAATGCCTTATGCTAGATAACACCACAAATGTAAGGTTATCATGGTACGAGCATGGAGCATTAGTTCAACCTCAAGCTGATAAAAGTGATGCTTTCTCCGGTGTGATGAAAGTCTCAGTGTGGCCGTGTACCATGAGGGATCGCTCTTGTGTTCGAGCACGAGCGCTCTTGTAAAAATTGGTTGCAATCTGAAACATCACCGATAGAGGCCGCTAAAAAATACATATAGCACCTTTAAAGGAAAAAAACGTTTAAATATGTCATTTTGGTGATCAAAGATGAGTTTTAAGGGATAAAATGATTGACTTCAGGGGGACTTTAACTTTGTGTTGATACGTTTATAAACTGCTGTTGCAGCATCTCATCATAATTTTATTTATTTAAAAAAAAAACAAGCTCTCCCTCTTCCGTAGCAAAAGGATTTGTGGGTTATATTAGCCTCAGAAGCTTTCACCAGAAATAGTTTACCATCTGGGGTACTTTGGCAAACTATTTGATGTGAATAAGATGCAGTGTTAGTTTTATGTTAGGTTTATGTTAATCATGACTGTTCAAAAGTTTGGGGTCGTATGAATTTTTTATGTTTTTGTCTTTTGCTCACCAAGGCTATCAAAAATACAGTAAAAACAGTGAAATATTATTACAAAATTGCCATTTTCTATGTGAATATATTTTGTAACTAATTTATTCCTGTGATTGAAGACTGGAGTAATGATGCTGAAAATTCAGCTTCAGTGTCACATGATCCTTCAGAAATCATTCTAATTTGCTGATCAAGAAACATTTGTGACTATTATGGATGTTGAAAACCGTTGTGCTGGAGCCTGTGATGTGTGTGTCTGTCTCAGGAGTATCTGAACAAGCATCAGAACTGGCTGTCGGGTTTGTCTCAGCACACGGGTCTGGCGATGGCGACCGAGAGCATTCTCAGCTTCGCGGGATACAACCGTCAAAGCACGACACTGGGGGTGAGAGAACACACACGTCACACACAGAGTCCCTCTCACACACTCGCGTCCCACACAGTCACTCACACACACACACGTCCCACACAGAGTCCCTCTCACACACTCGCGTTCCACACAGTCACTCACACACACACACGTCCCACACAGAGTCCCTCTCACACACTCGCGTTCCACACAGTCACTCACACACACACACGTCACACACAGAGTCCCTCTCACACACTCGCGTTCCACACAGTCACTCACACACACACACGTCACACACAGAGTCCCTCTCACACACTCGCGTCCCACACAGTCACTCACACACACACACGTCCCACACAGAGTCCCTCTCACACACTCGCGTTCCACACAGTCACTCACACACACACACACGTCCCACGCAGAGTCCCTCACACACACTCACGTCCCACACAGAGTCCCTCTCACACACACTCACGTCCCACACAGAGTCTCTCTCACACACTCACGTCCCACACAGAGTCCCTCTCACACACACACGTCCCACACAGAGTCTCTCTCACACACACACGTCCCACACAGAGTCCCTCTCACACACACTCACGTCCCACACAGAGTCCCTCTCACACACACTCACGTCCCACACAGAGTCTCTCTCACACACACACGTCCCACACAGTCTCTCTCACACACACACGTCCCACACAGAGTCCCTCTCACACACTCGCGTCCCACACAGAGTCCCTCTCACACACACACGTCCCACACAGAGTCTCTCTCACACACACACGTCCCACACAGAGTCCCTCTCACACACTCGCGTCCCACACAGTCACTCACACACACACACGTCCCACACAGAGTCTCTCTCTCACACTCACGTCCCACACAGTCTCTCTCACACACACACGTCCCACACAGAGTCCCTCTCACACACTCGCGTCCCACACAGTCACTCACACACACTCGCGTCCCACGCAGAGTCCCTCTCACACACACACACACACGTCCCACACAGAGTCTCTCTCACACACACACGTCCCACACAGAGTCCCTCACACACACTCACGTCCCACACAGAGTCCCTCTCACACACACTCACGTCCCACATAGAGTCTCTCTCACACACTCACGTCCCACACAGAGTCCCTCTCACACACACTCACGTCCCACACAGAGTCTCTCTCACACACACACGTCCCACACAGAGTCCCTCTCACACACACTCACGTCCCACACAGAGTCCCTCTCACACACACTCACGTCCCACACAGAGTCTCTCTCACACACTCACGTCCCACACAGTCTCTCTCACACACACACGTCCCACACAGAGTCCCTCTCACACACTCGCGTCCCACACAGAGTCCCTCTCACACACACACGTCCCACACAGAGTCTCTCTCACACACACACGTCCCACACAGAGTCCCTCTCACACACTCGCGTCCCACACAGTCACTCACACACACACACGTCCCACACAGAGTCTCTCTCTCACACTCACGTCCCACACAGTCTCTCTCACACACACACGTCCCACACAGAGTCCCTCTCACACACTCGCGTCCCACACAGAGTCCCTCTCACACACACACGTCCCACACAGAGTCTCTCTCACACACACACGTCCCACACAGAGTCCCTCTCACACACTCGCGTCCCACACAGTCACTCACACACACACACGTCCCACGCAGAGTCCCTCTCACACACACACACACACGTCCCACACAGAGTCCCTCTCACACACTCACGTCCCACACAGAGTCTCTCTCACACACACACGTCCCACACAGAGTCCCTCTCACACACACACGTCCCACACAGAGTCTCTCTCACACACACACGTCCCACACAGAGTCCCTCTCACACTCTCACGTCCCACACAGAGTCTCTCTCACACACACACGTCCCACACAGAGTCTCTCTCACACACACACGTCCCACACAGAGTCCCTCTCACACACTCACGTCCCACACAGAGTCTCTCTCACACACACACGTCACACACAGAGTCCCTCTCACACACTCACGTCCCACACAGAGTCCCTCTCACACACTCGCGTCCCACACAGAGTCCCTCTCACACACTCACGTCCCACACAGAGTCTCTCTCACACACACACGTCACACACAGAGTCCCTCTCACACACTCGCGTCCCACACAGAGTCCCTCTCACACACTCACGTCCCACACAGAGTCTCTCTTACACACACACGTCCCACACAGAGTCTCTCTCACACACACACGTCCCACACAGAGTCCCTCTCACACTCTCACGTCCCACACAGAGTCTCTCTCACACACACACGTCCCACACAGAGTCTCTCTCACACACACACGTCCCACACAGAGTCCCTCTCACACACTCACGTCCCACACAGAGTCCCTCTCACACTCTCACGTCCCACACAGAGTCTCTCTCACACACACACGTCACACACAGAGTCCCTCTCACACACACACGTCACACACAGAGTCCCTCTCACACACACACGTCCCACACAGAGTCTCTCTTACACACACACGTCCCACACAGAGTCCCTCTCACACACACACGTCCCACACAGAGTCCCTCTCACACACACACGTCCCACACAGAGTCTCTCTTACACACACACGTCCCACACAGAGTCCCTCTCACACACACACGTCACACACAGAGTCCCTCTCACACACACACGTCCCACACAGAGTCTCTCTTACACACACACGTCCCACACAGAGTCCCTCTCACACACACACGTCACACACAGAGTCCCTCTCACACACACACGTCCCACACAGAGTCTCTCTTACACACACACGTCACACACAGAGTCCCTCTCACACACACACGTCCCACACAGAGTCTCTCTTACACACACACGTCCCACACAGAGTCTCTCTCACACACACACGTCACACACAAAGTCCCTCTCACACACACACGTCCCACACAGAGTCTCTCTTACACACACACGTCCCACACAGAGTCCCTCTCACACACACACGTCCCACACAGAGTCTCTCTCACACACACACGTCCCACACAGAGTCTCTCACACACACACGTCCCACACAGAGTCCCTCTCTCACACACACACGTCACACACAGAGTCCCTCTCACACACACACGTCACACACAGAGTCCCTCTCACACACACACGTCCCACACAGAGTCTCTCTTACACACACACGTCCCACACAGAGTCTCTCTCACACACACACGTCACACACAGAGTCCCTCTCACACACTCGCGTCCCACACAGAGTCCCTCTCACACACTCACGTCCCACACAGAGTCTCTCTCACACACACACACGTCCCACACAGAGTCCCTCTCACACTCTCACGTCCCACGCAGAGTCTCTCTCACACACACACGTCCCACACAGAGTCTCTCTCACACACACACGTCCCACACAGAGTCCCTCTCACACACACACGTCCCACACAGAGTCTCTCTCTCACACACACACACACACACACACAAACACACACACACACGTCCCGACGGTAACCGATGCTGTGCTCTTATGGTAGATGGTAACTGAGGTGTTTGGGCAGATTAAGGTAAGACGGCGGCCAGTCTTCAGAATAAAAACATCAATCATTTTAGAAAGAAGATTTATGATTTATGCCACATGCTCAAAATACATATTGAAAAAATCACTAAATTCAAAAACTGATTGACAGAACATCTGAACATGTAAATAATTTTAACATGATCACATTTCACTGATTATTTGTCGTCAGTTTTATTTATATTATATATGGCTCTGTTCATAATGCACATTGTTTCAAAGCAGCTTTGAAGATAATATTTGCAGTAATAATGTATTAAATATTGCCATCTCTTTTAGCAGTTAATGCATACAGCAATTTATTATGTAAATTGTATGTTGAGCCAAATGACCTTCTGCATTTACTATATAGTGTATATAACACTGTATGATGTGCTGTATCCCACAATGCACTGCAAATTTGACCTTAATGTGGACTATAGTGCATTATAAACATTAACCATATGAATAGCTGTAAAGAAGATTCTTAGAAACAGTGTGTGTTGTGAAGAGTGTTACACACATTATGCTTTTCACAGTAACTAACCAGATATTTCTGGCCGGATATGAACTAAAATGTGAGATATAATATTAATGATTCATGCAGTAACACTTTATGAATATTCATTAGCACTGTTGTGTTCATGTCATGCCTGTTACTTTGGTCTTTGTTGTGTTGTTTTTTGCATGGTATGCGCTCTGATGTAATTTTCCAGCATGTTTGCGTATCATTTGTCATTCTGTTTGTTTGTGCCGTTACATCATTGCGTCTCTGCTAACTCATCTGTGTGTGCGCTGTGATTGGTTGGCCCTGGGTTTGGTGGGTGTGGCCTGCCGTGTGTCCCTCCCCCTCGTCCCAGGCAGCTTTTCCTCAGGTTGGTACTCAATGCTTTCAGTTGCTTCGTCTTGTTGAACTCTTGTTCCAGTTAATACAGACCCATATATGTTTGATCACAGCAGTCGAGGTCAGTATAGTCCCACTGCTCCAGCTCACAGCACGCCTGATGCTTTATAGGGGAAGAAGGGATACTGGCCTTTACTTCTAGGATTAGTCAGGAATGTGCATTCGTAATGTTTGCAGGGGGATGTTTTTAACTGTGAAGAGACTGAATCAGTTTCATCCTCCCCAGGTTACCCAGCTGACGGAGCGGCCCTCCTGTGTGAAGAAGGATTACTCCAACTTCATGGCGTCGCTCAACCTGCGTAACCGCTACACCGGAGAGGTGAACGCAGTCAATAGGGTGTTGATGAGGGAATCTCTTGAAACTTGACTGGAACGTTATTTCTTTATTTTAATTTTCTGTAAAAAATAATCTGAAAATATCATCTTTTTTTTATGTAAAGAAAATCTTTATTAGAACCGAAATATTACATTAATTATGTTAATTTAATATTATTTATTTATTAATTTTAATTTAATTCATTTAAATATTTATTTGATTTGTGACATCATTTCACAGAAAATTTAAATAAAGAAATAAGAAACAACATAGTCTTATTTTCCATAAAGAAAATCATAAGTCTGTTTTGAGGACCAATTATTTTAGGAACAATATATATATTTTATTAATTTATTTATTCATTCATTTTAATTTTGTTTTGTTTTTTTATTACATTTTTATTTTAATTAAATAATTGTAATTTATTTATTTACTTGCATTGGGACATATTTTTCACAGAAAATTAAAATAAACAAATAACATATTCATATTATTTTCCATAACGAAAGTCTATTTTTAGGGCCAAAAGGAATATATATATATATATATATATATATATATATATATATATATATATGTATATGTTTTTGCATTATGAAGAAAATGTGCTTTATTGTCACATAAATAATATCACAATGCAAAAAATATTTTATACTGTATTTAAATGGGCTTCATTTTCATACCTTCTTTCTTTCTTGTTTTTGAGGTGAAATATGACCTGGAAATGTTTATGTGTCCGTAATGCAAGAGCAGAGCATTTGATTGTGTGTGTGTGTGTGTGTGTGTGTTGAGGTGGCTGGGATGCTGCAGTTTGCCAAGGCGACACACAGCGAGTCGAACCCCAGCAAACTGATGATCTCTCAGATGAGCGACGCTCTGGACGCCAAAAACTCTGACGCCTTCATGCAGAACATGTTTAAGATGACCGCTCTGTTCATCAGCACTAAAGGTAGCGCACACACACACACCGTCACACAGGCCGCCTCGAATGCATGATGTTTGAGTGACGCACACAAACGTCTCTGTCTCAGACTGCGATCTCCAGCTGCTGCATCATCTCTGCTCGTCTCCGCTGAAGATGTTCACGGAGCAGGGCATGGAGACGGCCATCGCGTGCTGGGAATGGCTTCTCGCAGCGCGCAGTGGAGCTGAAGTCCAGGTACCTTTAAACTAGCTGTGATTTACTCACCCTGAAGCCATCCTAGGTGTGTATGGCATTCTTCCTTCAGACGAACACAATCAGAGTTGTATTAAAAAAATCCTGGCTCTTCCCAGCTTTATAATGGCAGTGAATATGTATGTTTTTTGTGTACCGTAAAACTTCAAATAATAGCTTTTATTTTCCCAAATCGTCGAACTGCACCGGCTTGGATTTGAGACAGGCGTCTATATGAGACAGGCCTTTATAATTTAGTGTTGAGATGTTGTTCATTGAGTCTAGGCCTAGAGTCTCTAATCTCTAAAAGTCTAGCACTGGGAGCGCCCTTTGCTGTCCATAAGGTGCCTCTGCGCACCAGCAATTTCAAACCCTGCCTCCAGTATTTGGGCCACGCCTCCTTATTTGCATACACTCCTCAATCCTCAATCCTCAAATGCCCAATCCAAAATCCTAAAAAGCTAAATGACCAAATGCCCAATCCTAAATGCCAAATTCCCAATCCTAAATCCCTAAATGCCCAATCCTAACTCCTAAATGGCTAAATGACCAAATGCCCAATCCTAAATACCAAATGCCCAATCCTAAATACCCAATCCTAAATACAAAATGCCCAATCCTAAATACCAAATGCCCAATCCTAAATACCAAATGCCCAATCCTAAATACCCAATCCTAAATACCAAATGCCCAATCCTAAATACCAAATACCCAATCCTAAATACCAAATGCCCAATCCTAAATACCAAATGCCCAATCCTAAATACCAAATGCCCAATCCTAAATACCCAATCCTAAATACCAAATGCCCAATCCTAAATACCAAATGCCCAATCCTAAATACCAAATGCCCAATCCTAAATACCAAATGCCCAATCCTAAATACCCAATCCTAAATACCAAATGCCCAATCCTAAATACCAAATGCCCAATCCTAAATACCCAATCCTAAATACCAAATGCCCAATCCTAAATACCAAATGCCCAATCCTAAATACCAAATGCCCAATCCTAAATACCAAATGCCCAATCCTAAATACCAAATGCCCAATCCTAAATACCAAATGCCCAATCCTAAATACCAAATGCCCAATCCTAAATACCAAATGCCCAATCCTAAATACCAAATACCCAATCCTAAATACCAAATGCCCAATCCTAAATACCAAATGCCCAATCCTAAATACCAAATGCCCAATCCTAAATACCCAATCCTAAATACCAAATGCCCAATCCTAAATACCAAATACCCAATCCTAAATACCAAATGCCCAATCCTAAATACCAAATACCCAATCCTAAATACCCAATCCTAAATACCAAATGCCCAATCCTAAATACCAAATACCCAATCCTAAATACCAAATGCCCAATCCTAAATACCAAATACCCAATCCTAAATACCCAATCCTAAATACCAAATGCCCAATCCTAAATACCAAATACCCAATCCTAAATACCAAATGCCCAATCCTAAATACCAAATACCCAATCCTAAATACCAAATGCCCAATCCTAAATACCAAATACCCAATCCTAAATACCAAATGCCCAATCCTAAATACCAAATACCCAATCCTAAATACCAAATGCCCAATCCTAAATACCAAATACCCAATCCTAAATACCCAATCCTAAATACCAAATGCCCAATCCTAAATACCAAATACCCAATCCTAAATACCAAATACCCAATCCTAAATACCAAATACCCAATCCTAAATACCAAATGCCCAATCCTAAATACCAAATGCCCAATCCTAAATACCAAATACCCAATCCTAAATACCAAATGCCCAATCCTAAATACCAAATACCCAATCCTAAATACCAAATGCCCAATCCTAAATACCAAATGCCCAATCCTAAATACCAAATGCCCAATCCTAAATACCAAATGCCCAATCCTAAATACCAAATGCCCAATCCTAAATACCAAATGCCCAATCCTAAATACCAAATGCCCAATCCTAAATACCAAATGCCCACTCCTAAATACCAAATGCCCAATCCTAAATACCAAATTCATTTTCGACTTAGACTTTTAGTTTCAAATTTAGACTTTTAATTTTCGTTTAAGACTTTTAGTTTTAGACTTTTTTAGTTTTCAATCTGTCCCAATAATCCCTCCATAGTTAGAAAGCTCTCTCTCTCCTGTACAATGTTGTCGGATCCAAATATGGTCATTTCCTTTTTATCAGCAACCAATCGTGAAAGTAAAAGGGTGCAAATGCGCAATCTCATTAGCTGATGCTAAATCTTTAAAGCCCGTTTTTTCAAATTGACTTTTCTCTCATCTCCACTTCAGTAGCACTTATATACAGCAAACTTTCCAGTCTTGTACCTAGTTATGTTATGAAGACATTTACAGAGGGATTTGTAAATATATTATTCCTAGCCTGATTTATATAACATTTTATTCCAAAAAACCATCATCATTTTATTAAGGCTATTGGCAGTATATTCTGATTTACAGGATAACAAAAGTAGATATCCATAAATCCATCTGTAGTTTTTTTTCCCCGTCTAATATGTGAACACAATGAAAAAATAATTTTGAACCTGGCTTTATCCAATACTCAGATTTCATTTTTTTTTTAAATGTATGCAAATTAGTGCATATTTAATTAGATAATGCCTAATTTGAAATACAGAAGACTTGTAATACATTTTTTTTCTCATCTTAATATAGGTAATCAACTGGAAAAAGTTTCATGGTGATATCGGCTAGTTAAAAAAATTACCCTATTCACCTGTAGTGTCTCGCCTTAAAGCTGCCGTCGGCAACATTTTTTTTATCATATTCGGTGAAATCGACACTATAATCCAACAGAACAACATAAATTAAGTAGTTTTAGAAAAAAAAACGAGCTTCTAGCTCCACCTGGAGCGTGTTATTTGTTTTGCAAAAATCCACAGCTCCCGGTTCATCGGGTCCAATCAGCGCAGGGGGGTGTGAGATCTGACTGCCAATCACAGATCGGGCAATCACATGCACACGCCTGAAGTTCGCGGAAGTTTGCGCAGTATCGAAGAGTGATGGCGGAAAATCAAGTAAGCTCATTTAGAGTATAAATGACGTTAGCAATTGCAATCTATCGGTAGATTAGCCAGGACAGCATACCTCCAAATACTCCATGGTGTTGATGGATGCTGATGAGACGGGCGCGTTCACAGATAACCTGGTGCACACACACTGACGAGCACGAACTCGGTGGGAGGGTATCCGCTGGGAGGGCCATAAGAGTTGTAAACATTCAAAATTTTGCCTAAGTCCACTCAATCTGCCAGACTTGCCAACTGCAGCTTTAAATATGGATATTTTTCTTACACGAACGCATCGCTTTACTTCAGAAGGCCTTTATAAACCCTCCAGAGCCGTGTGGAGCACTTCATGAATCATGAATAGATGCGCTTTGAAGGACTTCCAAAAAAATAAACCCATTCACTCCCATTATAAAGCTTGGAAGAGCCAGGAAATTTTTTAATATAACTCTGATTGTGTTCGTCTGAAAGAATAATGTCATACACACCCAGGATGACTTCAGGGTGAGTAAATGAGTAAATCATGGGGTAATTTTCATATTGGGTGAACTATCCCTTTCACTATAACCGCATCACATGCTGTGAAAACACTGTGTTCATGACGTGTGTGTGTGTGTGTGTGTGCAGTTCATGCGTGAGATGGCGGACGCCTGGCAGATGACCATCAAGCTGAAGATGGGCTTGTTCTCGGAGACCGAGTCAGAGGCCGATCCTTTAGCGGCTTCAGAAGAAAGTCAACCACTGCCTCGTCCACCCAACGTCACACCGCATTCACTCTGGATCGAGGTCTGGATTACTGCTTACTACTACTACTACTCTTACGATTTATGCAGAATATAGTATGCATAGTGTATGTAACTAAAACTGACTTGACTTTACACAGTGCTTTTCACATTGTTGTTAAAATCAATCAAAAACCCTGTGGGGGAAAGTCCAGCTTTTAATGTTGTTTATGTGTCTATGTGGTGTTTTTAATACGCTTTAAGACAAACCATGTGTAAATTCATAAGTCGACAGCATTGCTGAGTATTTTCTCCTTAAAACTGCAGTGAACCAAAAACTTCGGTGATCAAATAAGTTTTAAGGGATAAAGTTAGTGTTTTTTCTCCATTAATCAACATCACCCCCCATTCTAAAATTTAAAAGGCATCTATATTTTATTAACACCAAATTTATACACTGAGAAATTAATATTATAAATAAAAGTTTTAAGTTGCATTATTATATTTTCTACTCTCTATTCTCTACTCACTATTATAATGTACTGTTAAATACATTATTTATTTAATTTTAATATTTATATTAATCATTTTTATTTATTTTAATCTAGCTTAATCCATTCAATAGATTTAATAACGATTTTAATTAAAAAATGTATTCATAAATCTGATATGATCTTTTATGCACTAAAATTAAATAAATAATGAATATATTTAACAATACATTATTATAGTTAGTAGAGAAAAAATATAATATAACAATTTTTTTTTATCTAATTCTTTTATTTGATTAAATTTATTTATTTTAATTTAATTTCATCATCTGTATTTAATAGAATAATAACTATTTTAATCACATTTATTTATTTTACTTTAATTTGCTTATTATTTCAACTGCTTTTTTTTACCATTTTTCTCTAGACTCGGCTAGTAAAACATACAATGCAATGAGTACTACCATTTGAATATACTATTTTATACTATTATATAAAATAGTATATACTATTTTTTTATAAAACAGTAGGCATTATAGCTACTGTTTAGTATGCAGTAATAAACTATTTCATTTTAAACACAGCCATCAAACGGAAACCCTCAAAGTGATCACATATCATTGCATTCCCCATATGAGTGATTTTTGCAGTTCTGTGTGTGTGTGTGTGTGTGTGTGTGTGTGTTTAGTTTCTAGTGCAGAGATTTGAAATCGCGAAGTACTGCAGTGCAGATCAGGTGGAGATCTTCACGGTTCTCCTGCAGAAAGCCCTCTCCATCAGTGTCGGTGGACCCAAGAGCTGCCTGAACCGACACGTAGCTGCTATAGGACCCCGGTTCAGGTGAAACACATGTTTTACAGCATTTACACGATAAACTACAGTAGTCAACATCAAAAAAGTTCATCAAAGCTGTTCTAAGACAAGAACGGGTATTGATCAAAATTCATGTATTACTTTGATGAAAGGTTTTGATCCACTTCAAATGTTAACTACTGTGTTATTTGTAACTAGCTTACCGTAATTCCTCAAATAAAGACCGGTATTCAAATAAACGCTGGGCCTCTGATAGTGGCCGGGGGCGTGGTCAACGCGGACAAATAAAGGCCGGTCTCAAATTAAGGCCGGGGAAAAAATAGTGTGAATAGGTACACTTTAAATGAGTGTACACTCAAAGACGGACGCGCTCAGCGCTTGTCATATATCACAACTATTCAGTGTTTTTAACCACATGTTTATTTTAGGTTTCAGACATTTAAATAGATATGATTTATAGCAAAACAATAAATTTATAGTTTGTAAAATACACAATAGTGTCTATGGAAGCAGCAATAACAATCCATTCAAATATATTTGGCGACGTGTTTTATTCATATCAGATACAGTGTAAGTAACTATAAAGTTTACTCTATTCTTCTCCCAGTTCACCGGCCACTTACTTTCATGTATTTCGGGAGAAACTGAAGAATTCACGCGCTGTAACTTAACAAATACAACAGGAATCTCCGAACTGCGGTGCCCATCTCACGTTACAGATCAAGATCATTTATAAAGGGTTTTAAACGACAAAACAAACTCACTTACACGGATTTGAGAGTCAGAATAGAAGATAGTTGATGACATGGTAAGCAAGTTGGTTAATATTTAGAAATAAAAGCGCTACATCTGTCATACAGCGCTATTTTGGCTGTGGTGAACACGTGCCAAGCATGACGCGTCACCATGAAAACTTGGCTGGCGGGCGGGCGGGGATCGCGAATTAGAAATAAAGGCCTGCCTCTAATAAAAGCCTGCTTCAAATAAAAGCCGGCTACCATCTGCAGTTCAGGTAAATAAAGGCCCCGGCCTTTATTTGAGTAATTACGGTATATATGTATGTATGCACATATAAATCCTAAATGGTCAAATTACCATCATATCCCAGATAGCACAAGTCTATTTGATGTGATGTTTACATCTGGAAGACGTATTTTTGGAAGACGTATTTTTAAGAGTGTTGGCTCATCTGCAAAACGTCTATTGGACGTTTCCTGTCAGATATCAAATAGACTTTTAGAAGATGTCAGTTTAACATGCATTCTAAATCATTACATCTTAAAGACATCTTCTAAATGTCTATTTGACATCTGACAGGAAACGTCCTATAGACGTCTTCCAGATGTAAACATCACATCAAATAGACTTGTGCTATCTGGGATGTAGCTACGCACGCACAGTGAGTGCATTTATCCCAGAACACAGCATTGTTTTGGTTTATACGTCATAAAAGCCGACCAATCAGGTTAACATCTCCCTATGCCTTTAGGTTTGGTATCTTTAGTTAAAAATGTTGTTAACCCTCTGATTATCTTCATTTGTGTCTACACTCATTATCTTTGGGGTCTCCAGGGACCCCAGACAATAACATTTAATTTTGTAACAGAATAATATTTTTTTTTTTTTACAAATGTAATTTTAGTCTGTTTATTAATGTTTTTACTCAACATTTGTGCAGTTTTTGGAGGATTTTTTGTATCTTTTAAATTTCTATAAATAAATAAATATTTATTTAAATAGGCTTTTTTACAAAAAACAGCATTTTATGTCAAATTTACTTTATAAAAGACCCAGATGTGTAACTTTCATTTATGGGGATAACATGGATCATTTTAAATTATTTAATGTAAGATTTTTGCCCATTTTTTTGGAAAATGCAGTAAAAAAAAAAATAAAAAAAACTCACTTTAACCACTAGATGGCCATAGACCTCCACTATAAGCTATTTGCTATGTGATTAACCAAACTACGTATCTTTTCACAATTTTTTCCAGTTGGATTCATATCTAAATATTACAAAATCACAATTATAACACACAAAAAAATACTTTTTGTCAAAGTTTAGCATTTTTTGTACAGACAAAAGTTTTTCAATAATGTTACATTATGATTAGAATCAAACCTGAACAAGACTCCAAATGTTGGAGTCTTTAGATTTTATAATTTATTTCAATCATCTGTTTTTAATATAATTCTACAATTTTAATTCTACAATTTTACTAAATGTAACAGAACAAAAAATTACAGAAATGAACAGTTATATTACATATTGAGTAAAAATACATGACATGAACATCAAAATGCAATGAACTGAACAGCAATAACAAATGAGCAAATAAAGCAGTAAAAAAATAAAATTTAGTTTAAAAAAACAGTGAATGGGGAAAAAATCGAACAACTAGGAACAATAATTGGTGGTCATCACATACAGTCTCGTTTACAGTGCACTGCAGGTGTTTATGCGTCAGTGCACTGCAGGCAGTATGCATAGTATAGCCTTACAAATGTATTACTGTGTGTGTGTGTGCATTGTGGATTTTTTTTTTTGCATTGTTGGAAGTGTGCCACTTTATTTCTGTCTATGTGATCTGCGTTGTTTCTTTGTTGTTTCTGATTTTGATGATGAATTTTGTATATTTACTATGCGGGGTCTCCAGGGACCCCGAAGATAACAAGTGCTGGCATTTTTTTCACGCTAACATAAAAACAGATATCATTCCAATATATATTTTTTTTGGTAGATCTAGACAGTGTTAAGAGGCGTATAAGTTTTCATACCATTTGGACAAAGAGAACATTTTTTTAAAATTCACCAAATGTCATTTGCGGGTCAAAAAGACCCCGAAGATAACCAGAGGGTTAAAATGCAATGTGAACACTAAGCAGACCAGGATAAAAAATGTTGTTGTGTTTTTGACTTTAGCAACTTTATTAATCCTGCAAGGGGCAATTAGTTTAGAGCAGCATGTATACAACAATACATAACACAGATCACACACATTTCTCACCACATACAGACAGTCAATATGTGCACTTAAAAAAAGAAAAAAATTACACAGAGTTGAAAAGTTTGATCGCAGAAGGGATAAAAGATTTAAAGTGGTGGTTCGTCTTACTCACAGGAAGCGCATAATGACGCCCAGAAGGCAACAGAGAAAATTAACCTGACAAAGCATGTCCTGGAGAGGCTAAGATACTCGCTGCCTTCCGAACTATTAGTTGGTTACAGAAGACATTAAGGTCTCTCTGTTTCACACCAATAATTTTAGAACAGATTTTTACAATATTGTTCAGGCTATTCCTGTCTTTAACTGTCAGATTGTGAAACCAACAGATCGAAGAAAAACTTAAAAGACTCTCAATAAAAGACTGATACACAGGATGACCGGCGTGACAGAGAAGGTTGCCCCCGCTTCATGATGGCAGCGCTGTTTATATCAAACTTAAGATGGTCATCAAAAACAGTGCCCAAATATTTATGATGAAACAATTTCCACCGTTACATTATGTATGATGCTCTGTTTGTACACATATAAACGCATGTGGTAATGTTGTATATTTTTATTTTATTTTATTTGACATGGACGTTACAATTACATTGGACGAACCATATGCATTTGCTTGAGTGTTTTAGCACACATGCTAATTTTCAACACATATAACCTGCTAGTGTTGTAATTGTGTAATTAGGCTCCTGACTCTTGGTCTCACTCTTCTGCATGCTGATGTTGTGACCAATGCCACCATCCGTAATGTCCTGAGAGAGAAGATCTACTCTACAGCCTTCGATTACTTCAGGTAGTATGAGCATCCACACCGGTGGGGGAAATGTGTAGTTTCTCTTGCAGCAAACTGAGTGTGTTTTTGTGTGTGTTTCAGTGTGGCTCCACGATTCCCCACTCAGCCGGAGAAACGCCTGCGCGAAGACATCAGCATCATGATCAAATTCTACGCGTGTTTGCTGTCGGATAAGAAGTATCTCACAGCCATTCAGCTCGTCCCACCAGGTAAACAAACATCATCGAAGTTCACATGAACGATCTTCAGCTCAAACCCACCTGACAGGTGTGGTGTTATGGGTGTTTTCTTTATTTTGACACTCTCCACATCTTCACTTAAAGGGATACTGCAGGATTTAGCATTAAGCTTTGTATTAGTAGAAAACCTGTAGTATTTTCGAATTACCGTGCTTTCCACCCTCATATCCCCCTGAGACGAGAGATTTATGTATTTTTTGTCTGGAAAAAATCCTCCGATGACGCAAAAATCGTCATTTTGCGTCATCGGCGGATTTTTTGGCCAGAGGCTAAAGACTACAGTCAGTAGTAGAGGCTGTCCCGCATGTTCTCAACCCGCCCATAGAGGCTGGGATCTCACTCACAAAAACACATAGTGTCAGACATCTTTTTTGTAAGCTAAGCTAGCAGGCTCTTGTTCTGTGGAGAAAGCTGAGTAGTAGGGGTTACCATCCTCTTTTTCCCGGACATGTCCGGCCGCCGATGTCCGGGATTCAGCTTTTGCTTTCTGCAGTCGCCATTCATTGTTTACATGCACACCTCTTGTTTCAATCGAACTGAATTCATTCCGATTGGTGAATCTGAATGTAGTGTTTACATGAACGCTAAACAAGTGATCGGTTGATGTGCGTTTTAACATTGCTAAGAAAATTCCCGCTCCTCCGTGAGAGATACGAGACCGGTGCGTCTCACAGGTGTCGCTCATCGGTAATCACGCCAGCGGCCTTTTATAACGTTAATCTCATCAGCTGAAATAGATTTGACAAGATTGACTGAACCCTAAATACGTTTTGGCTGCGTTCACACTGCGAGTCTTAGTGCTCAAAGACATGTAAACGGACCAAACACAGAACATGATGTCACAAGATGCGACCCTAAAAAGGACAGAATGCTCAAGCATGGCTGTTTTTTCTCATCATAGTTGTGATAGTTGCCCATCACAGTTCAGTACAGGCGTCAGAACCACGTCTCCTCAGCAGATCTGTGTTTGTGTGTGACTGAGGGATTCCTGCTGCTGTTTTGACTAGGGCTGGGTAAAAAAATATCGATTCTCATTTTTTACGAACCGATATCGATTCTTAGGGGGCTTTTACACTGGGCTCGTTTGCTGCGGTCCGAGCCCGAGCGCGTTTGTTCCCGGCGCCCCCCGCAGTGTTGGTCTGGTTTCACACACAACTTGATTCTATCGAACCCTGGTGCGTTTGCGTGCATATGACGTCATCGCAAACGTGCACGGCGCATGATAGAAAACAGAACGTGGGTCAATATTGTGGTTTTTTTTATTAATTCGCTGCTATTATGCGCAGTTGAGTGAACACTACAGGTTTACTGTGCGTGTGTCACATAAGGTGGACTTCTGCTGCTTGCAAACGGACTCTTTTTAGGAGACAGTGGATTTCCAACTTTGTTGCCCTGATTCCACGCGCAATGCACGAATACACTGCACGCAGGCTCACTCTCGCTCGTATCCAAGGTAAATCATCAACACTATAATCCCTTACAAGCGTTTTATTTAACTAAATACATCACAATAAGCTAAAAACGCATGCGCAGGTTACTTTACTTCCTGAACAAGTGCGCACCCGAGTCCGTGTTGCTTTCACATTCACGCGAACCGCGGCACGGTTTGGGAGCAACCGAACTCAGACCACCTCTTCCAGGTAGTCTTGGGTTCGGTACCCCAGTGCGCACATGGGTCCCATGACAGCGTTCACATTAGCGATTTTTCATGCGAACCGTGCCCCGTTCCGAACTAAACTGCCAGTGTGAAAGCCCCCTAAAATCCCAAGAATCGATTAGTCATCCTGTTTTCAGTTGACGAATGAATGGAACATTGTAGCGCTCATCCCATCCATTACATCGCAATAATCTTTGTACTTTGTTACTATTGATATGAAACAAAGTCTCAGATTTCTAAGTACGTCCATTTTTTTACGAAATTCAAAAACATGGCGTTTTGGCGTGAGATCACTCGGGCGCAGCTCCGCTCAAGAGAAGCAGCAGCGCGGAGCGCACATGATCTCCTCTTCCGCCTTAATACCAGTTACAGCGCGAAATAAACATGAATGAGCATCTGAAAGTGTGTTAAACGATAGAGTACAACTTCGAAAATCCGTATCATGTCACATGGAATCGCTCAATCAGTGTTTCAACCATGGAACAGCTTGTAAAACAGCTTGTAAACAATGTCACGTCACATTTACCTCAGAAAAACCACATGTGACCATAAACTCGTTAGTCAGTTAGAAAAATTAACTCTAGAGAGGAGCATTTTGCTAAATATATGCACCATATTATATATGCATTATAATTTTTAATGCTCTTCAATATTTAATGCATGTTTGAATAAATCTGGCAAGTTTTTATGACAGCCACCATTTAAATGTTTATATTTCATATAACTTTATTATTATACAAATAAATAAAAGTGTAATTTAAGTGTTTGTATACAAATCAGTTAATATTTACCTTCAATATTATAGTCGGCTAATGAAGCCTATAGGCTACAACTGACTCCCATAGTTTACAGCATTACCGGTAGTTAAGAGATTTGTTTTCCTTGAGAAAATTTGCCATGTATTGTACCTGATGTCCAAAATAATCAATATTGCATCGAATCGAATTGCAAGCTTGTGAATCGAAATCAAATCGAATTGTGAAATTTGTGTCAATACTAGGGGTGTAACGGTACACAAAAATCACGGTTCGGTACGTACCTCGGTTTTAAAGTCACGGTTCGGTACGTTTTCGATACAGCAAAAAGTAAGAAATGCCAGAGAAATTTCCTATTTGTTAAAAGAAAAATATTTTTTAAATAAGTGTGAGTTTTCCTACATCTTGAAACTTTCAGGTTTATAAATGGGTGTCATCTTTGAAGGATGAAGAAATAATGTTTTGGTCATCATCACATTAAAAATAACATTTAAATATATGAAGAGTTCAGATGCAAAAGCGATTTGAAATTTTCTTCTAGAATGATCATTTTTATCAAGCTTGTATATTTAAGTTCAGTAATTTCACTTCAATGGCAATGAAGATTACCTATTAATTGTCATTTGAGTGAAATTACTGAACTTAAATACACAAGCTTCATAAAAATTATCATTCTAGAAGAAAATTTCAAATGGCACTACTTAGAGGCTTTTGGATCTGAGCTCTTCATTTATTTATTTATATATTATTTGAGTTTTGAAGTGCTGTAATAAGTACTTGAAAGCATTTCACTATTCCAGCCAAACTGGTTACAGTTAGTGTTACTATATTAAATCCATGGTGAATGTTGCTGGTCTGTGGACGTAAAGTATTACTAGTTCATTCACGGCACAATGTTTCTCCTGGTGTCCACGTCAGCGCTGTTTGATCTAATAGAGATCTACGGTTAATAACGGAGAAATGTGAATGTTTCTCACTAGATCTCGCAGCGATGTTATTACTTCAGTGGCGAACTCAAATGTTTTCTTCACTGGATCTTAGCGCTGTGTTGTAACCGTGTCGCTTGATCAAGATCGGCGCGCGCTGCACAGATGTTGCTGGTCCGATGAAGCACGTGAAGCACAATATAATGAGTAGCGCAGTTTCGTTCCGCTTTCATTACGTTTGCCATTTGATGTTGCGCAACGTTGTGGTGATCGCGCCAGCGCGAATTTTGTCGGCAGGAAAAATGGTCCAAGGAATCGTTCGGTTTGTATGTGTACCGAACCGGAAGCCTCGAACCGAAACGGTTCAATACGAATACATGTACCGTTACACCCCTAGTCAATACCCAGCCCTAGTTTTGACTTTTAGGTTTTATAAAAACTTAAGAGAAGGAACAAAAGAAGCGTTTTATAAGCTCCTCATGAGTTTACGCAGACAGTGAGAGGATTTAGCCCAGCACACAGCATTGTTTTGGATGTTTGGTAAGTTTCGTCGTGAAATTTGATAAAAGCCAAAGATCAATCAGGTTGTGAACGCATCCCTATGCCTTTAGGTTCAGTATCTCTAGGTTCGGTGTTAAAATGCCAATGTGAACGCTAAGCAGACCAGGACAAAACATTTTATTTATTTTTTTGGTCCGGACAAAACAAACCAAGCGAACCGAACTACAAGTGTGAACACAACCTAAATAAAACTATTCAAACTTTAGTAATTATTATACATGCAGTTTTTAGGAGCTCATATTCATTGAGAGACTAAATAGAATATTTGTATATTTACAAACTCATTTGTCACATGACGGGATAATTTAAGATGAACTGAGGTAAAAAGGTGATGAAAAATAATAAAAAATTGATGAAAAAGAAACATTGGCCAGTGACAGGACCTGAAAAATACACTTTTCTCTTATGCATTATGTGTTCAGTGCCCATAAACCCTGTGTTTGCTCAGACCCTCAGGACGTGTCTGTGAACAGTCTGTCTGTCATGGCCGTGACGGACTCGAGGAACAGTCTAGACGCGGCTGTGGGATCCAGACAACAGGCCAATCAGGGCTGGATCAACACTTACCCACTGTCCAGCGGAGTCTCCACACTCTCCAAGAAATCAGGTACAGACTCACTCTCGCTCGCACACACACTCTCTCACACACACTCACTCACTCACTCACTTGCTTGCTCGCACACACACTCTCGGTTGCTCGCTCGCTCGCGCACGCTCACTCACTCACTCACTCGCTTGCTCGCTCGCTCGCACACACACTCTCGCTTGCTCGCTCACTCACTCACTCACTCGCTTGCTCGCTCGCACACACACTCTCTCACACACACTCACTCGCTCGCTCGCGCCCACACACTCTCTCACACGCGCGCACACACACACACACACACACACACACACTCACTCACTCACTTGCTCGCTCGTTCGCACACACACTCTCACACACTCACTCACTCGCTCGCTCGCACACATGCTCTCTCACACACGCGCACACACACACACACACACACACACACACACACACACACACACACACACACACACACACACTCACTCTTGCTCTCACTCACACTCACAGACACTAACAGACGCACTCACGCACACTCACTCGCTCACACACACGCTAGCAAACGCTCGCACACACACACACACACTAGAGGTCTGCTACCCGACCCGAGCCCGACGGGTCCCGAAAAATGTGCGGGTTTCGGGTCGGGTTCGTGTTAATGTTTAATGAACAGCCTCGGGTTCGGGTCGGGTTCGGGTTTAACTAAGAAAAACTAAATAGGCTATATATAGTTTGCCTATATATATAATTTTTGTTTTATTTTATCATATGATTTGCGCATGAGCGCATGTACCGCTCTCGCGCGCTATTTCAGTCACAATACAGACAGACAGCAGACGTGAAAAAATGGTATTTGCTGTGAGAAACAGAATGGACCTCGGGTTCGGGTCGGGTTCGGGCTTAATATGTAAATGTAATTGTCGGGTTAAATGATCGCGGGTACGGGCCGGGTTCGGGCTTCAGTTTAAAGCCCGTGCAGACCTCTAACACACACACACACACACACAGACACAAACAGAGACAAACTCACTAACACCAACTAACACACACACAGACACACACTCACTAACACCACACACACACACACACACTAACACCATGCACCATGTAAATAAATTCATGCACATAAATTGGGCTTATTTGTCTACAAAACTCATTTCTAGCATGTGCCTTTCATAAGGAGTTTAATGCCCAGTGCACATTCTACGATTTTGACCTTTCCAAGATGAAAGATGGCCAATCGCGGCGGTTTCTGTGGTCGTGGCTCCTACACGTCGTACAGCGAGAGCGGTTCAAAGAACAAAGATAGCCTGCGATTATTTTCTTACAGTTTCATATAACCTGATCATCTCTCAGTGTGTTTGGCGCTATGACCTACGTCGACCTACAGTATGAGCGAATAAAATGCAACCTGAAAAATATTACCTTGAGCTCCATTTGTAAAATTGGCATGCTTCTTCATCATATGACCTACTCATTAAATATTTTTGTAGGTCTGTCAAAGAAGACGAACAGAGGAACGCAGTTGCACAAATACTTCATGAAGCGCAGAACGCTCCTGCTGGCCCTGCTGGTGAGATTACAGTCATATAATGAATACGTGTCTCTTTACTACAGATATCATGACTTGTGTATGTTTTTAATTAGTATATGATTAGACCAATGATATTTGTGTTTGTTAGGCCAGTGAGGTGGAGCGTCTGACCACCTGGTACAATCCTCTGGGCAGCCAGGAGCTCCAGATATCAGCAGAACAGTCTGTGGAAACCAGCATCGCCAACTGGAGGTCCAAATACATCAGCCTGACTGAGAAACAGTGGAAGGACAACGTTAATCTAGCGTGGAGCATCGCGCCGTATCTCGCCCTACAGCTGCCGGCCAGGTGAGAGAGCGCATGCATGACGGTTGCATTTATATTTTATGCATTTGGTGATGGATTTTATATTTCATGCATTTGGTGGATTTTATATTTGTGCATTTGGTGATGGATTTTATATTTTGTGCATTTTATATTTTATGCATTTGGTGATGGATTTTATATTTTATGCATTTGGTGATGGATTTTATATTTTATGCATTTGGTGATGGATTTAATATTTTATGCATTTGGTGATTCATTTTATATTTTATGCATTTGGTGATGTATTTTATATTTTGTGCATTTTATATTTTATGCATTTGGTGATGGATTTTATATTTTATGCATTTGGTGATGGATTTTATATTTTATGCATTTGGTGATGCATTTTATATTTTATGCATTTGGTGATGGATTTTATATTTTATGCATTTGGTGACTCACATTGCATTCAAGATCTACATGCATCTGATCATGCATTCCCTGAAAATCAAACCCGTGATTTTGGCAGAGCTCCAGGAATGAATGCATTACTCTAATAATATGAAATGGTACTGAAACTGATATTTTCCAGGTTCAAGAACACCGAAGCCATTTTCTCAGAAGTGACTCGCTTGGTTCGGTTGGATCCGGGAGCGGTCAGTGACGTTCCTGAGGCTGTGAAGGTGAACATCCAGAACCCAACAGACACACATGAACGAGTAATAGACCTTAGTCGGGTAGACATCATTTAATTTAATTTGACGTGAGGTTCAGAACTACAGTTTCTTCATTATGTTGTATTGTCTAAGGGTCTTATTTACACAGCCTGCGTTTCCTGGAGTTTTTGTCCTCTGGATATTTCTGAAATATATATTAAGATTAATTACTTTAGGTGATAAAAATGCTGAATTTTTGGGCAGTTGCAGGTAGGGGTGTGCAATATTGACAAAAATTATATCTCAATATAAAATCATTTGAACCTAAAACAAATATTGATTATAAGAAATTATTTAAAAGATGAAAAGATGCTTTACATTTTAAATTAAAACCGCCAGTAGGTGGCAGCAAGTCACTGTTAATGAGTGAGTCATTTGAGTTTAAACCTCTGATCTATATAATGATATGTCATATAGATCAGTGGTTTCAACCGATTCATTCAAAAGACCAATTTACTCAGAAACGAAGTTTTGACTCTCTTAATGAGTGAGTCATTGAATGATTTATTCAACCTATACGATCTTTCACCGCTGTGTGTTGCTCAGACATGCAAAATAGTACTGTGGTTTAGTTTGGAACTATTTTTATTTGCTAAACAGAGCAAAAACAGGCAATATTGTCTGTTTTATTGTCTATCTTCGTGTGATATTAATTAACTATATTAAATTATACAAATATAAAAGTCAGAGGTATTTTTGCCACCTTATCTTAAATATTGAGGGAATTCTAAATGCATTTTAATAAAGTAAATCACGCAGTGTAAGCGTGCTAGTTGTGTTTATGTAAAGTGAGGGACATACTTGATAATGTCAGATCACATATCGTTAAAACAACAATCATTATATTATCGCACACCCCTAGTTTCCGGACCTAAACTAAACACTTTTCCTTATGCATTCATATACATTTTAACCTAAAATCTTGCTGTTGATAAACAGTAAATAAAAGTTCATGGACGTGTTATTTGTTCACGACTCATAAACACTGTGTTCCCTCAAAAATACTGACAGTTTGATTTATCAGATCTTGCGTCTGCACTGGTAACGTGATACTGAACGTGTGTGTGTGTGTGTGTGTTTCCCGCTGCAGTTCTTGGTGACGTGGCACACGATTGATGCCGATTCTCCTGAGTTGAGTCACATCTTGTGTTGGGCTCCGGCGGATCCTCCCACGGGCCTGTCGTATTTCTCCAGCATGTATCCGCCACATCCGCTGACCGCACAATACGCCGTCAAAGTCCTGCGCTCCTTCCCTCCTGTACGCCATCATCATCATCACTATATTTCTTTATAGCTCTTTATCTTGCGTCATTTTGTCTTTATTAATGTATATTTTACTCTTGTTCAACAGGATGCTATTCTGTTTTACATCCCACAAATTGTTCAGGCTCTCCGTTATGACAAGGTAAAGTGTGTATGAAATTAAAGTTAAAGTGCCCTTATTATGCTAATTTAAAGGTTCCTAGTTTGATTTTGGTGTCTCCTACAGCTAGTTTACATGCATCCAAGGTCAAAAAACACTTTAATTTTCTCATAATATCCACTTCAGCATCAGCTCTTTTCTCACAGAGTCTGAAACGCTTCGATCAAGGATTCAGTCTCTCTAAGCTCCGCCTCTCTGAGAGCTGCTCTGCTCTGATTGGTCAGATTCCAAACGCTCATTATCATATCTGAATCTCAGCTCTTGACACACAGTGATACGAACAGTAACGATGGCGTGTGTTTTACCGTATCAATCTCATCAGAGTGGATTTGCTTTGTCAGCAGAAAACAGCGTCTTCTCGACATGAACAACACGAACCAAACTCTTCTCTCCAGTCTCAGATACACTACAGTGTTTGAGGGCGGAGCTAAGAGACGCTGTTCAGCCAATCAAGACCAGAGGCGGGCATTATGCAAATGAGTTACAAACCTAACTGAGACTGAATTACTGACGACTCGTTTCAGTTCAGAATCACGTCTTTCTTTTAGGAGACAAAAACTCTATTTATCTGCACTGAAACTTTGCAGAGCTTTTACATTTACACACAGCTCTATTACACACTTCATGAAAGGTCAAATCTGAAAATGCATAATAGGGGCATTTTTCCATTATTTGTCATCATTACTTGAAAAGCAAAGTTAGATTTGTAAAGGTATAAATCAAGTTGCATGCATCATTTTAATATTTTGCAAAAGTATAAATATGTTGTATATGCAGGCCATATTGCATTCCCCATTTTCTCTCCCTGACATGTTGATTGGTGTGTGTGTGTGTGTAGATGGGGTACGTGAGAGAATACATCCTGTGGGCGGCACAGAAGTCTCAGCTTCTGGCACATCAGTTCATCTGGAACATGAAGACCAACATCTACACCGATGAGGAGGGACACCAGAAGGACCGTAAGTCCTCTCCACCAACATCAGCTCGATGTGAAGAGCTCGTCAAGTCTCCTTCATTTATACAGCGCTTTTAACAAGATAGACTGTTTCAAAGCAGCTTTACAGTGATAATAGGAAAATAAAGTAACCGAGATTGTTTAGGCTTTACAGCAGCTCTAGAATAAAGTTATTGTCAAGCTAAAGCAAGTTTTTGATTGATTCACTTCCATTGCAAAGATCATTAGTTATTAACTTAGGGCCCGCTAACACGACACCGTTTTAACTGAAAACAGAAAACTTCAGTGATGTTTATTCGGTGTGTGTTTTCTCTAGCGGACATCGGGGAGCTTCTGGAGCATTTGGTCGAAGAGATCATCGGGTCTCTCTCGGGTCCAGCTAAAGATTTCTACCAGCGCGAGTTTGACTTCTTCAACAAGATCACCAATGTCTCAGCCATTATAAAGTAATAGAAACCTGCCGTTAGCATCTGGTTGTGTTCCGGCCATTTTGACTCTTTTTTCCCCCCCAAAATGCTAGTTAATGTTATCACGTTGGAATAAAACGTACTGACTTTGCTCACACAGGGTTTAACAACTTTCCAAAAAAAATGTGTGTATAATTTTCATGCTTTTTTGGGATGTTTTCCCCCCATCTGGTTACTCGTGTGGTGTTCCGGGTCAAAAATAACTGGCCTACAGAAAAATGCTTGCAAGGCATGTTTAAATATGTTACACATTTTATACACTGGTAATGCAAAGTGCTAGCCTGGATGCCAGCCCGAACCCCGCCCACAAAATTTTTTGGTCGGGAAGTTCGGTCTGGACTCGATCCATTAAGGAGTAATTATGAACAGTTCAGAATTAGTCGGGCCAATCAAATTGCCAGGGCGGGCTTTATACGATGATGGACAGATGATCTGCAGGGACGTAATCCTCACGTTATCAAAGAGCGCTTGGGTTGAACTGGTTTCCCTCACAGATGACTGCCGCTGGAGAACTGAGATGTAGAGACTCCGCTATCGCGTCTGTTGTAAAAGAAATCGACAGCGCATTCATTTTAATAGACGAACAGAGAACTGCAATCAAGGCATTTGTCGATCGGAAAGATGTGTTTGCCGTCCTTCCCACGGGATTCGGCTAAAGCTTATTTTATCAGCTGGCCCCGATGGTAACTAAGAAGACGGGACGCAATGAAAACCCTGTGGTCGTTGTGGTTTCTCCTTTGGTCGCACTCATGGAGGACCAAGTTAAAGAAGCAACACTCATTATTTTACTTCTTCCAGCGTGCGTGTAGTTGAGTTCTGTTGACAATTTGCGTAGCTCATAAAAAAACACACTTACTGCGTTGCTCTGATTGGTTGTAGGTCTATCCAATTGAGTGCAGAGTTTTGTTTTTTTCCTGGTTCGGTTAAGACACGCCTCATAATCAAAGCCCTATGAAGCATCAGACTCATATTCTGACTAGAGTATGAGTATGACGAAGTCAGGCTAGCAAAGTGCTTTACGCAGAAAGGAATTAAAATAATCGCAAAATAAAAGAAAGGAAAATTAAAACGGTCATAAAAGGGTGAAAAGATTATGCATAGATAAACTTCTCATCTGGCAATATAAGTAGTCTCTCATTATGCTATATTATCACCAAATCGTTAGCCTCATAGCATAATTGCCGAAGTCATTTTGTGTTTTTTCTTGTTTTCCAAAGACATTGAAATATGAGTTCGGCAATTATGCTATGAGGCTAACGAAATGTAGGATTCAATTTATCAACTTGTGTTCTTTCAGTTACCATAGGTTATAAATATCTTTTTGTAACTGATAGATCGTAGGCCTCAATGATCTCAGTTGTTTTGAGGAGAAAAAGCTTGAGTGAAATTCATTTCACTTAAAAACATCAAGTCAGATCATTGATGCCTACGATCAATCAGTTGCAAAAAAAATATATAACCTGTCCTATGGTAACTGAAAGAACACAAGTTGATGAAAAGATTGAATCCAACATTTGGTGATAATATAGCATAATGAGAGACTTATAAGCAATTTTCTGTCAGCCAGTCATTTTTTAACAGGAACACCAAACTAGCTTAATTTTCAACCGCACAAGGGTTAAATAGCACTTTAAGATTAAGTCTATAGGTTTTTATAAGAGTTGTGTGGGTTTTATGTATTTTTTTGTTTTTAATTGTTGCTTGTGTTGGTTTGTTGAGTTTGTTGTTCCTAAAGACAATTTTCTACTCTGCGGGAATAGACAAAGAAGCTTTTGATTTTGAAAGCATGTCTAACGTCACTGAACGCCGGCTCCTCCTGTTTTAGTCTTGAGATGGCACTAATTTTCTTATCTCATGTTTGAAGCTGAGATCTTCTCTGTTCCTCTGCTCATGTTCCAGGCCCATTCCTAAAGGAGACGAGCGGAAGAGAGCGTGTCTGCGAGCGCTGTCTGATATCAAAGTCCAGCCAGGTTTCAATCATCTTCATTATCAGATCACTCTTTGTTCTTGGCTGATATTACAAGCACTTTTAGTTACAAAACCGTTAATTTGATGTTTCTCAGGCTGTTATCTGCCCAGTAACCCTGAGGCCATAGTCCTAGACATTGACTACAAATCTGGAACGCCAATGCAAAGGTACAATCCCCACTGAAAGTGCCCATATTATGCTGTTTTAAAGTTCTTGGTTTTGTTTTGGATCTCCTACAATAGATTTACATGCATTTAAGGTAAAAAAACACTTTAATTTTCTCATAATCTCCACTGCAGCATCAGCTCTTTCCTCACAGTGTCTGAAACGCTTCAATCAAGGATTCAGTCTCTCTAAGCTCCGCCTCTCTGAGAGCTGCTCTGCTCTGATTGGTCAGAATCCAAACGCTCATTATCATATCTGAATCTCAGCTCTTGACACACAGTGATACGAACAGTAACGATGCCGTGTGTTTTACCGTATCAATCTCATCAGAGTGGATTTGCTTTGTCAGCAGAAAACAGCGTCTTCTCGACACGAACAACACGAACCAAACTCTTCCAGTCTCAGATAAACTACAGTGTTTGAGGGCGGAGCTAAGAGACGCTGTTCAGCCAATCAAGACCAGAGGCTGGCATTATGCAAATGAGTTACAAACCTAACTGAGACTGAATTACTGACAACTCGTTTCAGTTCAGAATCACGTCTTTCTTTTAGGAGACAAAAACTCTATTTATCTGCACTGAAACTTTGCAGAGCTTTTACATTCAGAAACAGCTCTATTACACACTTCATGAAAGATAATATCTGAAAAAGCATAATAGAGGCACTTGAACATAGTCATACAGCATCTATAAAAGCATCATGTGTGTTTGATGGGGTTTAGATGCACAATAAAATCACGTGTCTGTGTGTTTTCCCTCTCAGTGCTGCTAAAGCGCCGTATCTGGCCAAATTCAAGGTGAAACGCTGTGGAGTGAGTGAACTCGAGAAAGAGGGTATGCAAATCACTAATGCACACACATAATTCTTTAATTCCTGAAGCAAACAGCCATACTTCTGCTGGCTTGCAAGTACTGTAGATGACTAATCACAGTGTACAAATATTACATTGACATCATTGTTAGCATTAACATCGAATGTGAATGATTTTGCCTTTTGTATTATAATAATATTAATAAATAATAATTTTAGGAATTTAAGATGAAAGTCTGAGGGATAATGGTGCCTTTCAAGCACGCCAACACATGAAGTATGATGATGCGCTCCTCTTACACTCGTGTGTGTGTGTGTGTGTGTGTGTTTGTAGGTTTATTGTGCCGCTCGGACTCGCTGGATGAAGATCAAACCGGAGAAGACGCACAGAAGATTTGCTGGCAGGCGGCCATCTTTAAAGTAGGAGACGACTGCAGACAGGTATCAGTTTCACACTGACTGATCTCATGTGCTTTGTTTTTGCCGTCCTTTATGTACTTATTAGTTTACATTTCGGCTATGAAATTTGATTTGATGAGCCAACGAACTCAAAGCCGTAGTAAAATAGCTGATATATACAGTATTCACACCCAAATCATTATACACTAACAGGGGAATTAACTATAATAGTTTGTGAAATAATTTATTATTTTATGAATGTTAACAAAGGTCTGTTTATTAAACATTTGCATCTTTAAAAAATAAAATAATAATTCTGTTACATCCAATTCATATGTAATACCTGTTTAAACCCCTAACTCTTTATTTTTCTAATTGACATTGCTTTATTGGCATGACTGTGTTACAATGTTGCCACAGCACAAATAAACAGAACAGAAACGAGTGTATAATATAAGTCAACAGATTTATACTGTAGATTTTTAGAAAATATTAACACATTCATTGCATTTAAATATGCATTGTGTTTTAAATCACATTTATCAGGTGTAACACATTTAAGTAGAAAGGTTTGATTTAGTGGTTCAGATATTTGTCTAATTCCCTCCCTCCAGGACATGCTGGCTTTGCAGATCATCGGCCTGTTTAAGAACATTTTCCAGCTGGTGGGACTCGACCTGTTTGTGTTTCCGTATAGGGTGGTAGCGACGGCTCCTGGGGTGAGTTTATTTTATTTTATTTTATTTTATTATTATTTTTATTATTATTATTATTATTATTTTTATTTAAATATATATATATATATAGTTTTAAATGCTTATTTGTATTTATTTAAATAATGTAATTTTAATTCAAATTAATTTTAATCTTTAGTATTAAAATTAATACATTATTTTTTGAAAAATTATTAAAAAAAATTATTTTGAATGAGAATGAGTTTTGTCGGCTGGCATCACACCAGTCAGTTTTTCCCACTGATTTTCAGTTGCAATCGTGTTGTTTAGATTTGAATCAGGTTTATTGCATTGGTAATACTTCAGATTCATACAGTAGTGAAGAACTGAACCGCTGTAGTCCTGGTCTGTTCTGGCCTAAACCAGTCCCACTGCAAACACACAGCCAGACTCAATCCGTCATCTGTGGTGATTGTGTAACTGAACATCTTAATATGGCTAAACTTACACAACTAATAAAATAAGACATCCGAACAGTCTGTTTATTGATTGTAAATCTCACATGATCATTACCTGAAGGGACAAACACACACATCTCACTCCCTGTTTTGCATATTAATTCCCTTTATAATGATGGTTTATGTTTGTTTGCTGCTCCTGATCTGATTTACAGTATGTGAGAGTGAACCAGAGAGAAATGACTTTCACCAAAGGTCAATCCGCAGGTGTGATGCTCTTGTTTCGAGTTGGCTAGTAGTGTGACACCAGCAGTGTTGTGTTCCTGTGTTTGTCCCGCAGTGTGGCGTTATCGAGTGCATCCCTGACTGTAAGTCCAGAGATCAGCTGGGACGACAGACGGATTTCGGGATGTACGATTATTTCCGTAACCAGTACGGAGACGAATCCACTCTGGCCTTCCAGAAGGTGAGAGAAGCCTCATATCTCTGTTTCTGTCAGTGTTTCTCAGTCAGGAGTCCGGCGTCCACTAGAGGGCGTCAGCACAGTTACACATGATGATTTCAAATCATACAAGACCCACTTTAAAATCAGCTGAAACAACTTAAAAGCCATTTATTTCCTATTTTAATTTATTTATTTATTTTAATTTTATTTATTTATTTTTCTCTCTCTCTCTCTCTCTTTTTTTTTTGGGAGATCCAGGATTCCTACAGTCTTGGAAAACCTGGAAAATATGGGGAAGCCTAATTTTAAAATGTTTTCTAGACCTGGAAAAGTCATGTAAATTTAAAATAATTGTCTTCGAATTGCTTTAGTAATACCAAGCTCTAATATATTTTATCAGGTAATGTAGAAATTAAGTCATACAAAAAAAAAAAAAAACTTTAAAATAAGCTAAAACAACTAAAAATCGATGTATTTGCAACTGTATTTTTATTTTATCTTTTTATTATAATTTATTTTATTTTATTTTAATTAATTTTGTTATTTTATTTATTTTATTTTATTTTGGAAAAGTAGTTAGACCTGGAAAAATGTATAGTATATGAATTGCTCTATAAAATGCCAAGCTCTAATATATCATATCAGGCACTATAGAAATGAAATAAAAAATATTTATTCTTAATTCTTATCCAGTAAATAAACCTGTAAAACTCATGCAGATTCATTGGTTTAAAAGGGTAACAACCCTGAAAAACAGCAATTAATATTTTTGTTAATTTAATTTTAAATAAATTAAGTTATGTTTATTTATTTATTTTAATTGTAACTTTTTTTTAAATTAGGAGTGCCTATAGATTAAAATCATTTTTTAAAGCAAAGCTTTGGGCTAGGCGGACTTCAAATATAGTTGTACATTTAGATTTATGGATTTTACGCATTTGCTTTTATCTAAAGCAAAACCGGTTGTGAACGATGAAGGGTCCTTGGAGTCTCTCTCTCTCTCTCTGTCTCTCTCTCTGTCTCTCTCTCTGTCTCTCTCTCTGTCTCTCTCTCTCTCTCTCTCTCTCTCTCTCTCTCTCTCTCTCTCTCTCTCTCTCTCTCTCTCTCTCTCTCTCTCTCTCTCTCTCTCTCTCAATTCAATTCAATTCAATTCAAATTGCTTTATTGGCATGACTGTATATTACAATATTGCCAAAGCTTGGAATACATAGAATTATAAAGACATCAAAATACTCAAATATTATAACATAAATTAAATTTAAATGTACAAATTAAATTAATTGTACAAGTGAACAGTGTAACAGATTAGAATATCTGTGAACATTTGATACCACAGTGTTTTAACATACATAAACACACACACACAACACACACACACATTACTGAGGGTCACTGTGGTGGACATTAGGGAAACACACTGAGGTCAGACACACACACACACACACACATTCACCTGTGTCTCTCTCTCTCTCTCTCTCTCTCTCTCTCTCTCTCTCTCTCTCTCTCTCTCTCTCTCTCTCTCTCTCTCTCTCTCTCTCTCTCTCTCTCTCAGGCGAGGTATAACTTCATCAGGAGTATGGCTGCGTACAGTCTTCTGCTGTTCCTGCTCCAGATTAAGGACAGACACAACGGGAACATCATGCTGGACCGACACGGACACCTCATCCACATCGGTGAGACCTCAGACCATCATCCCGCTCTGTTCTGGGTTTATCATGAGTGTTTATCATGTGTGTGTGTGCTCCTCAGATTTCGGCTTCATGTTTGAGAGTTCTCCGGGTGGGAATCTGGGCTGGGAGCCGGACATCAAGCTGACGGATGAGATGGTGATGATCATGGGCGGGAAGATGGAGGCCACGCCCTTTAAGTGGTTCATGGAGATGTGTGTGCGCGGATACCTGGCCGTCAGGTGAGATGTGTGTGTGTGAACCTGTGTGAACGTGTCTGTTAAAAATGGATGGAGTCGATTTCCTGAATGCATTTCTCTTTCACACGGTAGGCCGTACATGGATGCTGTGGTTGCCTTGGTAACGCTGATGTTGGACACAGGGTTGCCCTGCTTCCGCGGTCAGGCCATCAAACTGCTCAAGTGAGTTTGAAGCAACTATGATGGAGCAGAACGGACTTTGCTCTGTCAGGTCTTTGAAATTTGATGTGCATGCAAATGTAGATTTATATTGGAAAATGTACAATTTTTGATAAATTAAGCAATGGAAGAACCTTTTTTATTATTGAAATCAGTACTTTACAAACATTTCAAAGAAATTAACACAAATCAATGTATATGACAATATTTGTTGTCATGGGGAATTAATACATTTAATAAAATGTAAATTACTGAAAATTATTAAAAATGCATCATGGCAAGAAAATCTCCAAAAGCGCTAAAAAAAAAAAAATATTGAAAGTAATTAAGTTTTGAGAAATCAAGCATTTTTGAAATAACATCAGTTCTTTCTTATCAACTGAACTGATCTGAATAACAACACCGGTGTCTTTTTAGAGCTGCTTTACATCCGAAAATAAATTAAGTCTCATATTTGAGGACGTTTGCATTTGCAACATTGATTCTGTTATTGTCATGTTTCGTACTATATGAATATGAAGATGCTTTGAATCATGTGTTGTAGGCAGCGCTTTAACCCTGGAGTGAGTGAGAAGGAAGCAGCGGCTTTTATCATCAAAGTCATTCAGAACTGCTTCCTGAGCAGCAGGTCAGTGTGTGTGTGTGTGTGTGTGTGTGTCTGTTTTACTAGGAATGCACAGATTTATCTCAACATATTTTATGTGGACATTAAACATGATGCTCAAAGGGAACCTATAATGCTTTGGTTTGTTTTTGGCTTTGATTTAGCCTTTCCTTTAGTTTAGTGTGTAATATGAGCTGTTTGTGCGGGTAAACACATTCTGTAAAAGGCAGGGAATCTCTCCAACAGAAAACACTCCTGAAATGCCTCGTTTGTCGTCTTGCTATTATTTCTGTGATTTTCTTATTTCATGCCATGTCACCATGACACACATTTACATAAACCCTGTCTGCTCATTATGGGTAAGTGAGTTTAACTTAAAAGTTTAACTTAAAATCATGTAAATGTATTCTAGCAAAACCCCAAAATTATGAGCTAGTAAATAAGCATAATATGAGCACTTTAAAGAGGCCATTATTATTATTTCCTTTCTTAAAGGCACACCGCGGAACTTTTGGCCACTAGTGGCGCTCGACCTGTAACTTTCACGTCTAGCGTCCCTAGAGGCCACAAGCTCCGCAGCACTGTCGCAAAAGTAAACAAACAGTCAACCGGTCAGACCATAGACAGTGGGTCAGCCTCCCGTGTCTTTAGATTGTGTGTGCTTACAGTGTTTGAGGCGGGCAGCCTGGCCGCGCTCGATTCCCTTATCTTATAGCAGTCTGCTGAGAGAGAGCGAGCGGGGCGAGCCCCGTGGGGCTTAGTGCTAACATGTCTGTGAGTGAATGTGGGCGCGGGACGGCGGGCCGGGCACATTTACTGCACTAAAAACACCATCGGCCTGAGCTGACTGTAACTTATGTGTGTTGGTTTCGTTTTACAGAAACCGTGGGACATGTTGTGTGTAGTGTTTGTGGGCACTGAGTCGTGGGCACGTTCACTACATTTAATGTACATTTGACATGAGTCGACTTTATTTGTTCGAGCCCTGCACTGTGGCGGGCTGTGTTTGTGTGTAGAAATGAACAATGGGCTGTGGGCATTTTATTACACTCATAACACCATCGGCTGTGGCCGGAATACCAGAAAATACTACACTACTTATATGATTTATCTGGGTCACCTTGGAAACGGCATTTGTGTGCAGGCAAGCGTCAGCATCGGTCGGGCACCCCTCCTCCTCCTGTAGCTCACGCCAGCGAGCGAGCGCTGGACCAATGGTGATCCTCGTCCTGGCTTTTCATTTGTCACTATGCCTTTTTCTTTTTTTTAGTGTCCTCTGACAAAACCTTTGCCTTCTTCCTTGTAGCTGTTGGTTCGGCCATGTCGAAAACATACAGACGACAATCAAACGCGAGTTGAGCACTCACGTCAGAATCTGAGGAAGTTGGGGTGGTGGGGGAAGTGACGTATGCCGTAAAGCGGTTGAATTTTGTAGTTCTTTTTGTGCTCGGGTTCCTACCCGAAACCCGAAGTTACATAGTGCTAGGAAAAGCGATACAGACACCTTCAGGGTACGGCAGACGTGTCATTCAACCTATTGTAAGTCAATGTACCATCTCAATGGGTTTTGGTAATATATTATAAAGGTTGAAAAGTTCCACAGTGTGCCTTTAAAGTTTCATGTTGTTTTCAGGCTCTAGAACAGGTTTGCATGCATTATTCTCCATTGTTGCGGCTCCTCCCTTCCCAGTCTGTCAGTAACGCTCTGTTTAGTTCCTGTCTCTATGAAGCCCCTCCTTCTGAAAAGCACACTGTGCTCTGATTGGTCGGCTGGATCAGTGTGTTGTGATTGGTCGAGCGTTTCGAGTGTGTTTGGGAAATGTCCCGCCCCTTTCCATAACCGCCAGTTTAACACACTACTAACTAACTCAACCAGGCCCCGCCCCTTTATTCTGCGTATGAATTATTATAATGAGGAATATTGTGGCGTGTTCGTTCCCGGAAGAAACTCAAGACTACAATGGAGGCGTTTCAGGAGTTCAGAAACACTGACACTGATATAGAGAAGAACTCCCGCTGGAGGGACAAACAGCAACATTACACACTAAAGAGAGATGAACATGTAAAAGTCCTCTATAATAAATAATATAGGAATTACATGAAATGTGTTTTCATTTGTTCCAGGAGCAAAACGTATGACATGATCCAGTACTATCAGAACCAGATCCCGTACTGAAGGCCAGAGAAGTGTGTGTGTGTGCGCTCTCCTCTCACTGATGCTATCTCACACTGCTGTCACAGTCTGGTGTGTTTGTGCGCTTCATACACCCGAGATGAGTTTGCATGGATTGATACACACTTATATCAGCACTTTTGAGACTTTTCTTCACTCGATGAACTTTCTGCTGCATGATTATTTAAATTATACTTGATTTTTAAGTAAATTGTGCCATTTTTAGTTTTATTTGATGTGATTTTGTTTACGGCCTTTAATAGTTTCCAGACAAATCATGTCGTTATTAAACAGCAGATGTTTTTATGGAAGTGGACGGTCTGAACTAGAGACAAATGTCAAATTTTAGAGGTTTTTAGATTTGCACATTATATTGATTGATTATATTTATAGTTGAAATGTTTTGGCATCCTGTGAATCTTGATTTCTTTGCAGCTCTGAATTTGTGTATTAATATTTCTGATTTTAGGGTCACATGACCTGATCGATCACTGCTTGTTTTGCAGTTTGTGACTGTTTATTGATCAGTCGATTGTGCCGTAAGTGACTAATCTTTGTACGCTCGTTTGTACGGTCGCATTAATTCTCTCTCCTCTCTTTATATTCTCATTCCTTTTGGATTATTTATTGTCTGTGATATTTAATAAATGTCTACAGTAATTGCTTGTATGCATTTGTAAAGCTTCTTTTCTGTGCATGTGATAATCCCAGATGTCAAATGAAGCGGAGCAAGTGTTTTTATTTATTTAGAGTACAAAATGCTTTAAATGTACAGTCAATATCTGTGTTTTCAAGGGGTTGTTCATTGACAGTGATTTGAAGTTACCAAAAGTCATTCATTTACTGTAGTATTATGATGTGAGATTACTGATGAAAACACCTTCTAGAAACCAATAAAACAGCAACACTGTAAATGTTTGTTAAATGTCAGATGCTTTTACAGTATACATGCCTTTTAGCTCTACATTTTTTTTCAGTCCATTCATTCACGGGGAGCTCTGATTTAGCAGAAATAAATCACAAAACGATATAACTAAACAGAGGTCAGAAATTTACATTTCTAATTATATACAGTATGACAAGATAAAAGAGGACTTATTCCTATACTTTTGCAGTAAATAAAAAAAAATAGAAAGGTAATTTAGAAATTAACATTGATCAAAAACTAATTCTTTAAACTATATTAATTCATTTAGTATACCTTTAAAGTGTAATACATGTTTCATGAACAACTGGTAATGTACACATCCTTGTTGTAAAGCATAGAAATCACAAAATATTAATCCACACTATAGTTCCCACAGGCCAATTAATGTCACGTGACCTCCCCGGAGACGCCATCTTTGAGGGCATAAGCTGCTCTGTTTACAAAGTTTTACAAGGAAATTTGGAATATTTCTTTGTTTATAATGTTACGATCATGAAGAGACTAAGTGACAAACATTATATTAGGACTCTATTAACACAAGACAGAGAGAGGTACAATGCGAAAATTTCAGTCATAAATGGTGTGGATCCGTAGGAAGCACCGAGCACTGATTATGCAGCTTTGCCTCATACAGTATTATCATGTAACGTTACCATTATCTGGTATTTTATACACATGTGAGCAATTCCGAGCCTGGAAATCACTGGAGGCGTACAATCAGTTTGTCGAGGGTTGGGTTGGTGACGTTTGCTCAAGTGCAATCAATGGAAAAGTAGTCATCATAGCGAATGTATATGATGCCAGACTATCTGTCTATCAAAAAGCCATAGCCTGCACAACTTAATTCCTGTTCCCCTTAAAACAGTCATCGGTGCTTTCTGTAATATGCAGGTACTTATTTGTACACTGAAGAATAAGGTTGGAACGGTACTCGTATCGAACGAAACCGTACGCGCGTCACGGTTCAGTGCATGAATATACACGGTATAAAAATATATAAAACTCGCGTGCAAATTCATTAATGTAATGTGGAACTACTTACGCGGGTTTTTTAGGGACATAATCTGAGATTGCAATGCTGGAGTGTGTGTGTGTGAGAGAGGCGCGGGCGCGATCGAACAGTGGAAACTGTTGTTTTTAATACCTCGTCATTATGTTAATACAGGACATCATTCAAACTGCAAAGTGTTAACTTGTTTATTATCCTCGCCAGCCATAACCTCCGTCGTTGTTCTGACAAAAGCTTAGTCTTCTCACATTCATGAAGTCTAAAGACGGGTATACTGTAAAATCCAAATTTAACTGAACCCCCGGCACGATTTGAACATCCATTGACCCAGCAGGAGATGACCATTTTCACTTTTATCACGAAATTAACTCGTTTCAGCTTCTTCTTCTAATATTCTGCCCGAAACATGCCCACAGAAATGGCGCCGGGTCGGCAAATGCCCGTATGTTGTGATGTCATGTAAGAACTATGTCTACACCCCAAATCATAAACTTTTGCCCCGCCACTTTTGAAGTTTCACCCTTGTAGTAGGGAATCAAACCCTGATGTTACTAGAATCTAAATGTGTAAAAATATCATCAATATTAACTTCTCCATTGTTGTTCAGGCGTTATACACGGAGGATGATTGGTCGGTGTGGTATTTGTCCCGCCCATCCTGCACTGTGATTGGACGGCTCGGTAAAAAGTGACAGCAATGAGCGCTGCATTTTGGATTTTTCCCAAAGTTTAACATTTTTACATTTTCATGGACTAATTATACGCTAATAATAAATAAACTCGACACGCACGCACCCATCCAAACTTATCTTCCTTTTACAATAAGGTTTCAACTTTCAATCCAAGTTAATTTTATATATATTATTCAAAAATCTAAAAATGATCTGTTAATAAATGGAACTGTGTGACCATGAACTAAACAGTTAGGCCTATTTTTATTAAATATAAAAAAATATTAAAATATTGTAACAAATGTATAATGTTAAGTAATTGGACCTTCTTGTAGAGTATTTTGTTTTTTAGGGGTTCCTTGTAGTTGTACAAAACTGTATAATTCAAGTGGAAGACTTCACTATAAAACAGCCCTAATACTATCTCTGGGTTTTCAACGTCTTCTATTTAATTTTTTCATTTTATTTACTTATTTTGTTCACTTAGCCTAATTTTTTTTTAAACATTGTTTGTGTAAAAGATTCAAATCAATTACAAGGTGTAGGCCTAAAAAACATTTTCTGCATCTTTGATAAAAATAACAAAGAATAGACAGAGTTAAACATTTTTTCCTGTCAATGTTCTCTCATCAATGAATGTAGTTTTGTTGTCGGAGTTCCCCTACTGGAACTTTCAGATCACGTAATATCATTGATGAATTTTTTTATTTAATTTCTTCTGGCAAATAAAAATCTGACACCTGTTAGATGAACCAGAATATCACAGAGGGGAAATTGCAATCGACAAAACATTGGGAAGAAAATTTTAGGACTCAAAAAAAGTGAAAGGCATAATAAATCACGAGTCAATATAATCAATAAACCTGTTTTCTGCTTGCATCAATTGTCAGTCACGTAAAGCCGTGTGCAGAAAGTTGCAGACAGGAAGCTGAAAACCACATTGACAGGAAGTCACAGATGTGAAGCATAGAAAAGAGCATACAGGAACTTTAATATTGCTTTAATATTTCATGCCTTGCCTAGAAGTTTATTATAGTCATTATAATACAGTAAAATACAGGATGTGATCTCTTAGTTGAGAGAAGATCAAAACTCTAAAATAACACTGAGAAATAAAGACAGAGATGAACAGGATTTTTACATTTATTGTCATCTGTGTCCTCTTATGTCAGATTTCTTAAGCTTAATACAAATTTAATTCAAAATACAACGACACCGTGTATGGCAATAAAGAGTGCAGCGCATGTGTCAAACATGTTTCCTGTAAATGTTTCCACGAAAATGAATAGACGTCAAATCACCTGACATACCATCACTGATGACTCTTTTCTTCTGGCCAATAAAAATCAGACACGTTTAGACGGATGTAATATATATTGAGTGGCTTGTGTGCCTTGTGCGCCATTTCGCATGTATCTTAAGAAGGAAGCCTCTCTCATTCTCTTTGACAAATCTGCTTTATCTAAACCCACTGGAGTCATGCCACCTGTGCTCACCTCACCGGAATCAGCCACAGCAAACCAGCCGGTTAGTTCTGCATGGCGGGTTATTTCATCATTTAGTGAGTATATTCAAGTTATAAAAGATATCAGATCAGCTTACTCTGACTTGAATCAGTTGTACTCAGATGGGTTCAACTGGGTGCGTCTCGGGTCAGCTCTGTACCACACTGCTTCAGTTCTAAAACGCCTTGCTCGGCTGCTGAATCTTTCCAGCGTCAGTGAAGAAGAATCCGGTCGGTTGCCATTGTAACAGCAACAGAATCTGGTGATCACAGTTGTAACAGCAACAGAATCTGGTGATCACAGTTGTAACAGCAACAGAATCTGGTCGATGACCATTGTAACACTACAGAATCTGGTGATCACCATTGTAACAGCAACAGAATCTGGTGATCACAGTTGTAACAGCAACAGAATCTGGTCGATGACCATTGTAACACTACAGAATCTGGTGATCACCATTGTAACAGCAACAGAATCTGGTGATCACAGTTGTAACAGCAACAGAATCTGGTGATCACAGTTGTAACAGCAACAGAATCTGGTGATCACAGTTGTAACAGCAACAGAATCTGGTCGATGACCATTGTAACACTACAGAATCTGGTGATCACAGTTGTAACAGCAACAGAATCTGGTGATCACAGTTGTAACAGCAACAGAATCTGGTGATCACAGTTGTAACAGCAACAGAATCTGGTGATCACAGTTGTAACAGCAACAGAATCTGGTGATCACAGTTGTAACAGCAACAGAATCTGGTCGATGACCATTGTAACAGCAACAGAATGACAGAGCCCTGACACTATTTATTAAAATAAAAAAAATAAATGCACATTTTTAGTGTTTAGTGTTTTTATTTACTCCAATGACTGTTAAGTATGAATATTTATGGAAAACTTTGCAAAAGTTAAAACGGAATAAATTCAGGTAGGTATTT